AGAGTTTCCTGCAGAAATTCCAAGTGTGTACAAAGAGTTTTTGGTCAGGAAGGAGTGAAATCTGCAATTTCTAGAGGGTTCTTGAGGTAGCACAATGTTAAGAAGTACAAAAAAATTATCTTTGTTTTTTTTCACTGCATCAATAATTGCAGTAGGAGGTATGGTAACAAAGCTTGTGAAGATGGATTTAGAACTTACGTGCAGTCCTTCTTTACAAGCCTCAGTATTGTTCTGTTTTCATATTTGAAAGGTTTTTGCTAATATTTGCTAATTTCTTTAATCTATGGAAGCCCTCACTGTCAACTCCTCTCCATGTTCTATTAAAGCTCTACTGCAAAAATTTGCAACCAATCTTAACATTGTCTTTCAAGGACCAATTTGATCCCCAGGCTTTTTTCCACTCTCTGAATGTTACCAAAGACAGCAGCTTCTCCAGGTGAGCCAAGGTCTGACACAGGAGACCAGCACAAGATGTCTTGGAGGACAGAAGACTTTCAACAGTGACAGGATCACTAACAGACTCATCCAGCAAACCTAGAGGACCAGAGAAGGGAAGAGCTCAAGTTGTTATTGAGCACAAAAGACTGATTTTCAAAGTTAATCAAGATATTCAGTGATGTAGTATGAATATCCCTTCAAATGCAACTGTCAGTAGGATGCTGCACTTTATCACAAACACTGCTACTGTCCTTGACTTGTTCTACTCTTTCACCTCCAGTTTTGCCTGCACCAGACCCTTGAAACACTGGCAAGCAGACTGGCCTCTAACTTTTCTCTCACAACTGTACCTGCATATTCCAGAGGCTGGGAGGCTGCTCTCAAAATACAGTCCATTGGCTGAAGTAGAACAGTCAGTGCCTGAATCCTCACATCTTGTGGGCTTCAAGGAGAAAACAGCAGTTACCAAAACAAGAACACTTCAATTCCTTCCCAAATGTCTGCCCCCAAATTCTGAACAGAATAATGATTTTTATGCAGGCTTTTAACCAAGCCAGCAATGACAGAGCAACAGAAGCAGTATCACAATCTGAGCCTTCTTCCAAGCTTCCCTTGCTAACTGAAAGCAGAGGAGAAATGGCTCTGGAATTTAGAAGGAGCTTTATCAAGGTATGCAAATAGAGAGTGGGATCCTGTGTAAGAAGGAGGCTGAGAGGGAAGTGTTTCTTGTCAACAAAATGGTGTCCTTCTATCTTAAAACATAAGTGTTACTTAGCCTGTAAACCAGAATCTGTATATGCTGTATTCATCTGATGATTTCTTGATACTTTTTCACTACCTAGAGGGCAGTTATGGAGCAGGTGCAGGCAGACTTCTCAGAAGTGCACAAGATGTGAATCTTAGATTGCAACAAGGTAGATTCCAACTGGGTACACAGAAAATACTTTTCATAGTGAAATGAAACTGCAACAGGTTGCCCAGAGAAGCTGTGGAATCCTCATCCTTGGGGATGTTTGAAGGGTGAAGGCCCTGAGCAACCTGACCTGCCTTTGAAGTGAACCCTGCACTGAACAAGAGGTTAAACTAGATCACTCCTACAGGTTCTTTCCAACTTCAGTTATTCTACAACTGTCTCCAGAGTCTCCAGATCCCTACTTCTGCTGGACAGAGTGAAAGCTCTTACACTAGCCAGGGTTTTTGTGAAAGGGAAAATGGAACAGGCTACTAGATTTGACAGGCAGCCAAATGGTGTTCATCTCAGTCAACCTTGGCAGTATAGTTACTGGAATTTGCTATTTCTTCCTGGAATTGGCTGGCTGTAGGTAAGATGCAAGAGTATACACATAACAAGATGCTGGCTCCTTTAATCTCTCTCTCTTTGAAACTGTATTATCCTTACTATCAGTACAGCCTGAAGTCTGTTAGTTACTGGCATGACTCTTGGCAACCAGTCTCACATATTAAACAATGTAACAGAAAATGCAGTGAGGATAATAACAGTTCCTGGAAAGACAGCAGAGATCTTAGTACAGAAACATCTGCAGAGAGTAAAAATTTCATTGCAGTAAGTCCTACCATTTGCAGAGCTTCAGAAGTCCCACTGCCAAAGGACATGCTTGTACTGGGGTTAAGTGTTCCAGAGCAGAAGTTACTAATGCCCAAAAACTGCCTTCAGTGTCACAAAACACAGGGGACCTGAGAAGAAAGAAGTGTAAGTTATATATCCTATTACACAGTGGAAAACAGATATATATGACCACGGGATCCAAGGTGCCAGATCCTTACCGTGCCACGTTAAGCAAAAGGTTTGCCAGCATGTGCTGTGCTTGAAGAGTCTCTTCCATCAGAAAGGATTCTATTTGCTTTGCTATGTCTGACCAAAGCACTTCAGTCCATGCAGCATAACAACTGCCAAACAAGCTGATTAACAGCTTTAGTGACTGCTCGATGTGAGAGGCAGAGCCGGACTGAAGGGAATCTTCCACGTGCTTTTTAATCATCTGGGCACACGCTGGCCACTCACAGTCCTTTGGGCTGAGAGGTTTAGATGTTTCAGACTCTACAGAGAAGGTGAGCATGTGCACCAGGAGCTGACTGGCAGCTGAAGCAACAAACAGGCTGGGATCCCCTTGCAGAGCGAAGATCACGTCCATGCCTCCTGTGGGAAAACAGAACAAGTCACTGGAGGAAAAAACAACGGCGTTCCTATGGTGAGGTGGAGCCTTGTTGAACTCCAACCACGTGTGACTCTAACTCAGGTACCACACAGCTTTAAATGGTGGTGGTGGAGTTTCTTATCTTTTATTTTGGAGCCTCTACTCAAAGTCAGCCAGTCCTTAACAATAAGCAAACAAAATAAGAAAACCGTTTGCAGATCCTCAATGGCCTTGGTGCTTTTGACAAATGGCTTATTTTAACTCTTAAATAAAGGAAGACTCCTCTCGCTCATTTGACATGTGAGCAACTGGAATTTGACATCTGAGCAAACACCTGACTGGAATGGAAGGGACACAGAGAATCTGGGGAGTGAGTTAGCAGAGCTGGCAGTACTCACCCCCGCTGCAGAGGAAGTGCAGGGCGGGTTGGTGGTGCACCATGCTGTGCACTCCCTTGACCCAACCGCTGCGCACCGACGCGTCCTCCCACACTGCACGGCCCCGGGGCCCGTCCTGGCCAAACAGCCTCCCCAGCAGCTTCTCCTGCTGAGGCCAGAGCAGAACACAGAGGAAACGGTGAGCAGAGGGGCTAAAGGGGAGAGGGGAGGCTGCTCTGTCCTCCAGGTCAAGAGTATCGAGGGTAGTGAAAGATTCTCTTGCTAGAAGTACCACGAAAATAGAAAAATTTCAGAATGCCAGGCTTAAACTCAACGTATGGCTCTCTCAGGGATTAAGCAACAGAGTTGTTCAGTACCAAAACTGCTTGTTTTTCAGGTGCTAGAGACAACTTCTGTATATCATGAGTTGGTATACATCAACTTATATGGAATGGAACTTGAATGGAACTTATCAGTTCCATTAGACTGCTCTATGCACTTGTACACATCTCTTCCCTGTGAATGAAGCCTTTCGGGTTTTGTACTATAAATGTATTTTAGTGTAGAAAGTAGGGCTTTATAAAGCTCTCTCATTTTTGCAGAGAATCAGAAACCTCCTGTCAACCTACTATAGAGGGAAAATGACATGTTAGTGCAGTTTAAATCTACAGGATCAGTCCAGGGATTCAGTGCTGTACAGAGGCAGAGTTATCCCATAATCTCAGGTGGCTGACTCACCTGCAGGTGCTGGAAGCGGTTTTCGGAGGCAGCGAGTATCCCAGCCAACTGCAGGGTGAAGGACAGGATGCTGGGGCTGGGCTCGGGCAGGGCCAGCACGGAGCTGATGAGCTCTGTCAGACACGGGTTGTCCTGCACCAGCTCCACAGTCGGGTCTAGTGGTGCCAGAGAACAGCAGGTCACTGCCAGGACTGTCCCTCCCACTGAGGTGATTCCCTGAGCTGAGGTAACCCCTAACAACTCTTAGAACTGAGGATTTTGGGTCCAAGCCCAGGTGTAGCCTCAGCTACTAAACAGCGTTTTCAGGTGTCTCCGAGGGGACAGCACCTCAGAGGGTCGCGGAGTCTTCCTCTCTGCAGACATTCAAATCCCACCTGGACGCGTTCCCGTGTCACCTGCTCTGGGTGGCTCTGCCTTGGAAGGGGACTGGACTGCAGGATCCCCAAAATTCCCTTCCAACCCAAATCACTTCGTGATGGACCTTCCCCCACGGTGCTGACCCGCCGCCCTCCCTCCCCTCGGCCCGGCCCCCGGCGCTCACCGAACCACGTCAAGCTGCGGAACCAGTCCAGCAGCTTCTCCAGGCAAGTGTCGTCGAGGCCGGGCTGCCGCGGGTCGGCCAGGGCGGCGCATACGCCGGGCAGCAGGACGGCGCACTCGCGGGTCATGGCGAAGCGGCGGCGGGCCCGGGCCACGAACCAGGACTGGGGGCCGGACATGGCCGGGGGGCACCGGGACAGGAGCAGGGACGGGTACTGGGACAGGAACAGGGATCGGCACCGGGATAGTAACAGGGACCAGCACTGGGACCGACAGGAACAGGGATCGGCACCGGGACAGAACAGACACGGCACCGGGACCGGCCCGGCGCCGGCCGCCACCGCGAGTGTCGCAAAGGGGCGTGGCCAATGCTCGGTCGGGGGGCGTGGCCGAGCCCCGGTGGGGGGCGTGGAGCTCCGCGCGCCCGCGCGGCGGTGGGTGCGGTTGGAGACGCGATCCGCCGCGTTCGGTCGTGCGCTGCTCCCGGCGCAGGAGCTCCCGGCGCGCTGGCGGAGCGGAACCTGGCGGGGCTGTCCCGCCGCCGCCGGCTTTCCGCCCCGCGGCGCCGCTTGGTGTCACTCGCGCTCCGCGCACAGCCCGAGCCCTACCCGGCGCTGCCCTCAGGCGCGCCGATGTTTCTGCGCATGCGCCGCCACCCGGGCCGCAGGGGGGCGCTCGTTCTTTCTCCGGCGCGCGGTGGTTGCCCGTGGTTACGCGGCCCGGAAGTGCCGCCACGGGGCCATGCCGCCCCCAGCCCCGACACGGCCCGAGGGGGCCCCGCGGCCCCGCCGCCCCGTGAGGCCTCCCCGCCGCCCTCCCAGCATGGCCCGCGGGGCCGGCGAGGCGGCAGCGGAGGGGGAACTGGTAAGGAGTGAGCCGCGGGGAGGAGGAGGAGGCGCCAGGTCTAGGCCTGCCTCAGCCCGGGCCCGGCCCGTGAAGCGCTCCCTCGGGGCCGGGACAAAGCCCCCTCAGTAAGTGGGAGGAGGATGGCTTGGTCCGTGTCCAGCCCGAGAGACTCTTGGGTCCTGCCTCTGTCTCCCTAGCCGGTCCATGGAACGGCGTGGGGGTGGCATCTTCTAAAACTACACCGGGGCAGGTTTAGTTTCTACACTAGGAAGAATTTCTTCTCGGAAAGGGTGATTAGACATTGGAATGGGCTGCCCAGGGAGGTGGCGGAGTCACCGTCCCTGGAGGTGTTTAAGGAAGGACTGGACGTGGCACTGAGTGCCATGGTCTGGTTCACACGGTGGTGTTCGGTCACAGGTTGGACCCGGTGATCTCAGAAGTCTTTTCCAACCCAATTGATCCTGTGATTCTGTGTTGGTGTTCGTTTCCCACCCCCTCAGCAGCCAGGTGGAGATTTTTAGCCCCTTTGGGAGCCCCCACGTTCTCCTGTTTCCTGTCGTGAGTGGCTCTAGTTGGGCCAGTTTTTCAGGAGCAAAGAGGTTGTGAAGGTTTCCAAGGACAGGGATGGTTTTGTTATTGCATGTTTGTGTCTTGATGAATGTTTTGTTATTTACCATTTATCAGGGCTGAGCGCCTTCCACATTCTCTGATTCCAAGTGTGATAGCTGCAGTTGGGGAGAGAGATATTTCAGAGTGAGAGGCCTTAAAATAACCAAAATAATCAGTGTGCTGCAAGGAGCATCACCTCAGGAAATTAAAAACTGTGTGGCATGGTGTGTGAGATACAGACCTGCCTCCTCTCAGCCAGCACAGAAGGTTGTTTTACCTACTCTGGTCAATCCTTTCTCCTGTTCTGCCAACCAGGGTTCTCAAAAACACTTCACCCCCTCCCCGGCCTCTGACAGACACAGATCAGCATCTGTCCAAAGAATGGTGCTGAGTGCCATGGAGTCCTCAGCAAGTGGAAAAGGTCTTTGTGAGGGCAGAATGCATCCAGATAACTTGAAAGCAAAGTGGAAATTTCCATTCTGCTCTGAATATGGTTACATTTGAGAAGCAGGGAAACTTGTCATCTGCTTTGGTTTGAGTTTTTTTCCCTCAGCCTGATCACTTCTCCAGTTGAATGTGGGAACTGAACCATCCCACAGCATGGCAAGGGTAGGACAAACGAGTGGGGAAGGGAACAGGTGAATGAGTTGCAGCTTAACAGGTGGAGAAATTCAGGCAGAACCAGCTGGAAGTTCAGCTGTGCACTGCAGTGCACAAGTCTCTGTGACTCAGGTGGAAGGTGTCCCTGCCCATGACAGGGGAGCTGGAATTTGATGATCTTTAAGGTCCTTTCCAACCCAAACCATTCTGTGATGGTTCATGACTGAAGTGACTTGCGCAACATCACAGGACCGTTTGTTTTACAGCAAGTGATGCTGAGATTTGAGACAGCCATCTCTCAGCAACTTAAGTGGTTTTGACAAATGGCTTCTTTTTATCAGAAAGAATTGAAAACTCCTATCTCATCCATTTGACATTTGAGAAATGAAATGGAAGAGAAACAGAGGATCTGGTGACAACATTTACTGTTTGGATTTATTGCACTCTCACTTTGTTGTGATAGTAAATGATATAAAGTTTTCTGGATGTGTATTATAACAGCAGATGTCACAGTTCCTGTGTCTTTCCCAGGGAGATGACAGCCTGTCTGTGATAACCTGTGAGTCAGACACAGAAATGGTGAGTTTTCATGTCAACTGTTTATCTGTGGCATCAAACTTCAGTGGGCACCACCTTCATGGATGTGGCCAAATCTGCATATACCTAATGCTTCTGTTTTTCTTTTCTATGGACAAGATTTTGTCTTATTAGAATACAAGACATACACAGACAATGGAGCCAATTTTAAGATTTTGTGCAGAAATCTTAAGAGTTGAATATTTTCAATCATAAAAATGTGTTTCTCTTTCAGAAGTTAAAGAAGAAGATTTTTCACAAGCCTCCCAAGTCACCAAGTAAGTGTTGCAAAATTTTGTCTTCTGCTGTTCACAGAAACTGAAGTATTTATTTGAGACATCTTGTTCTTCTCTTCAGAATGATTCACTGCTGTGTGCAGAGCACACCTATTTGAGATTTGTTCTGAAACCTGTCAAGGTCTACTTGTATAGGCTAAATGTTGAAGTTTATGGAATAGCTGAGTTCTTGATTCTCCAGCATAAGCTACTTTTTATCATGTGATTCATTCTATTGGCAAATATTCTGAATTTCTTATTGTAGTTTTGGAGAAATGCTGATACTTGCAATGTAGAATTACTGGAGCTCCCTACCACCCAGTAGATATGTGTGTGTGGATTTAGCAGTTCTCTGTTTCATTTGTTGGGTTTGTTGGTGGGGTTTTTATTCACATAATCTTAGAAGTACAATGTTATTATTAGATCTGCACTTTTAATATGGGTTTTGTCCTTTTCTTTTCTGAAGTTTGTTTCTTGCTATACTTTTCCATTTAACTCTTTTTTTAGGCTTCCAGTGAACGTTTCAAAGAAGACTTTATCTTAAAGTGTTGTTAACAACATTAATTTAGATGTGCAGTTATCTTAAGGTTGCCTATCCAAACTGTACATGTAAATATTTCCATGTGTTGAATCTTATTACTGTCATTATGCCTCTTTCTAAGCCTCTTCATTTTTTGGAATTCTATTTTTTCTATACAGTGTTTTTAGGGGTTTTTTTTTAGGTGAGTGTCCTGTTACTCTGTACAAGCCAGGATCTAGTACACTGTTAATTCTAATTTTATAAGTATTAGGACTGTGTCTGAGAACTTTGAAGCACAAGACAACAAGAATTTTTGTGACCTTAAGGCAGCACTAAGATGTTTTCTTTTGCTCCAGAGTCTCCCTACAGCTCTAGCACACAACTGTATCCCAAAAAAGCTGCAGCTTGGCGATCTCTGCAGGGAACGGGCAGTGCATGTTCAGAGAGTGCAGCTGTAAAAAAGCCAAGGCAGCTGTGGCTGGAATCACTGAAACAAGGTAATAGTATGGAAATTAGATCTGCATATATGGATAAAATTGGGTGTTGTGGACAGCTTAACGTATAAACTCTTAAAAAATAGAGTTGTGTTTGATTAAAGTTTGCATAGGAAGTCGTTTCACTATTATTTATTTGGGAGGTTGAAATTATCTGATCTTGAGTGTTGGAATTTATAGAGGGAAAAATTAACAGCATCTGGAGCTTTCTATGTTACATTTGCTCAGAATAAATCCACACATTTAATTCACAATTAGCTCTGATTTTTGCATTTTTGTTCCATTTTTGTTGGCAGGAATGAGCCATCCTCTGAAATCAGATGTTGACGTGGGGCATATGAGAACCAACACTTCCAGTAGCACTCCAGAATATTTGAAGGAAGCTCTAGGAATGAAGAAGCCAAAACATTCTCGTTCTTCTAGTAATGGTAAAGTCTGCAGTGGTGTGGTGGATAAAAGTTAATGATATTTTTCCTCTGTAAAAACACACATTGCTTAAGATCTTTGCTTCAATAAAGCAAGAGCCATTTCAGTTGGTTAAAATATATGTGTCAAAATATCATCCCTGGGATACTTTTTGAAATTTCTAAATTGGTTAAGGCAGGGGTTTCCAATTTTTTTTTTTTTTGAGCAATGAATCACTGTTAGCTTTCAGAACTTCTGCAAATTGCCATGCATTTGCAGCTGAAAATGTTGCAAGTATAATATGGTTCAATGGGACAGCTGTAGACAATTTATTGTGACTTTGCAAAACATAGTTTAGGAACCATTGATAGAAACCATCTGCTTGCCTGAAATTCTGTGTAATTGACTCCTTTCACTTCTTCTCTAGAAAGTGTTTTATCGTGTGGTTGTGACGTTGAGATCAAATGAGTTTTATGAGAAGAGCAAACTTTAATCCTGCTTTTCTTAAAGCAGAACTGTGAACTTAAAAATTCCACTTCCATTTAAAATGACACCTATATTTCTACTGGTAATACACAGTTTCTGACCACTTTTGAAGTTGATAGATTATCACATGTTAAGCATACAGAGAAAAGTGGATTCTGGACACCTTGTAGAAAACTTTTGTAAATAATAGATTTGTTGGGATGAGAAGACTTCAGTCTTCTGTGGAATTTGTATCTTTCTTGAGATAGATATTTTAATATAGCACCAGAGAGAAGTAATTAGGAGAAATTGGCTGTAAAATCTAGCAGAAGTTTCATATAGCTACACCTCCATTTCACCTCCATTTCTAAAATTAATTTCCTTGCTGATTTTTCTTCTAGGAAAAAAAAAAGCCTAGTTTCCAGTTTGGTGCTGTTCTAGATATTTATCTTGAACTGTAAGGTTCTTGATGAGTTAAAAATACCTCTTTTGGATCTACTTATTTTACATACCCCTTTCTGTAGGCTACATTCCTGGAACTCCTGACTACAAAGAAAAAGAAGATATGTATGATGAAATTATAGAACTGAAAAAGGTACAGTCTCTCTGATACTTACAGAAAAATTCACAGTGTCGTTCCTCCACCTGAAGGTGCCCAGGCCTTACTGCTCCAGAATACTTTGGTTTCTACAACTGGGACATCCACCACGTTTTTTGCATTTGTAATGTAAGGCTTAACTAAAACTTGTGTCAGACTGAGGCAGTTTCATTGTTCTCATGGTGTGATAGATGCTTCTGAGTGCTGGATGTGGAAGCCTTGAAGTGTAGCCAGTGCTGAGCCCCAACCATGGCCCTAGCTGGATGCTAAAAAGGTTCATTGCCTTTAGTTTCTTTGCCCCCACCTCCTTTTTTTTCCCCCTCAGCTTCCTGTCCATTACTCATTTACTGATCACACTTTAACAATTTGTCTGCTGAGGTGAGTGCAGTGTATGACAGATGAGGACTGTCACCTCCCTGATCTGTCAGCCCTGCTCCAGAGGGATGGTATTTTTTTGTTGTTGTTGTTTCTCTTTTGCTTCACTGTCACCATCGTCATTGGATTGTTACTGACATCAAAATGTGTGTTCCTATTTCTGAAATGTGAAATGTGCTTTCAATTTTTCTCCCCTCTCTTAGACAATACAAGCTCAGAAAAACGAGGGCGATCGAATGAAAACGAAGCTCCGTCGACTGGAACAGGAGAACAGTAGGAAGGATAAACAGATTGAACAACTGTTGGATCCTTCCAGGGTGACTATTTCTTGGGGGGATAGAAGTGGGACAGAAGAGTGCAAGTCTGTTGCATGTTGACCCCTAGGAATGATGAGCTTGAATATGAGAGGTGGCTGGTTGGTGTGAAGGGATTTCTTTTGTGCATCTCAGCTCAGTTCCAAGGAAGATTATGCCATGCAGTGCAGATAAGTTTCATTTAGCAAAGATACCTGTAATTTCTGAAGGTACAATGAAAATGCTGTCTCTTTAGGGGCCCACTTTCTGAATATTTTGCCTGAGAGCAGAAGGGAGTTAACCTCTTGCAGGGTGACCAGTGCATGCAGTCAGTCCTGAGACTTGACCAGGAAGCAAAAGAGCAGCCTTATTTTCAGACCCACAAGGCTGAGAAGTGTTTGTGGTTAGACTTAGACTTGAATCCCACTGAATTTCTCGTGGCTGTCACTTTCTGTGTGCAGATCTGCAATAAATGTGCTAATATTGAATAATGAGCATAGGGACTTCAGAATTTGGTCTGTGAAGTGACTGTGGAGATGAGTAGGTTGGAAGATTCTGTGGGAAGAGCCAGCAGTAGAATAAAGTAGCAGGGTTGGTCACTTGCTTTCTGTGTCTTGTTTTTCAGGGCTCTGAGCTGGCACGAGCTTTATTAGAAAAGAAGAATGATAATGGATGGGTAATGGTTTCTTCATTATTTCTGCTTTCATTTTTCCTTCTTCCTCTTGCCAAGTTGAAACACTACTGAAAATAAAATGAAGTAGAGAAAAAACAAGCAATTAGGGAATCACGTAACCTTTATCTCTGTAGTCAGGTAAAGTACTGGTGCTTTGTCAACCAGTAACAAAGATCTAGAATTAACATTATTTTAGGGAGCTTTCTTTGTCATTGTCTTGAGTCTGTTTAGGGAGTATTCTCCCTTTTATTTGCTGCTTTGAATAGGCAAAGGTATAGGAAGATAATAGGCAAAGTTGTTTTTATTTTACAATTGTGTATAAATATTCTTAAGCTGGTGATGTTACCACAGATACAAATTAGGGATCTGATTTCATTAGATCTTTTCATTAGATCATTTCATTCTCTTTTTCACAGGGTAGCAGATATGTATGATCTACTAACTACTGAAGTATGTAGGAATAAGTATGTCTTGTTAGGTACAATTTATAAAGGCAGGGCAAGATTGTGGAGGAATAGAACTTATGTGAAGAGAGATTATTCGAGGACTCATGAGTGTTTTATTCTTTCTGTAGGTGGTCAGTGGATTAAAGCAGAATATTCTCAAGCTTGAACAGCAGTGCAAGGAGAAAGACAACACAATTAAGTATGATTCTGTGGGGGCAAGGAGTAGAGGCATGAATTGGATGAGCTAATAAAGAAAATTGGAAATCCATATTATTTTGCATTTGTGTTCTTATATTCCTTAAGACATTTTAATAAACTGCAAGAATGTATTAGCAATTATAAAACACCCACCCAGAAACTGTGAACCAATAGGTATTGCAGTGTCTTTGCTGGTCTGACTGGGTTATTTTTTGTATTATTCTATTTTCAGTGAATTCCAGGCAGACATGAAGACCAGCAATTTGGAAGAAGTGAGGTTAGCTATGGAAACCTACTATGAAGAGGTAGGTCTGACAGGTCCTTCAGTGCATGCAGGAGGGGATGCTGTTCAGTTGTTGAGTCCAAACATAAATGGAATATTTTAGATAGGTTTCTTACAGCTTAGCTGCACCTATTTTCATAGATATTCTCATAGCTCCAACTGCATGTACTGAAAAAATGTTTTCCTTCAATAAGTTGAGCATGTTAACTAAAAAGGGCAAATAAAGAAACTACTGTACATCCCTAAGTGTACTGTCAAGATGAAAGCCAATGTAACAGTAGCCTGATTTTCAGTGATAGCATTGTTACCTTTGCTACTACCCAAAGTCTTGTTCTGATTTTCACCTGGTGAATAAATCTGTGCTGTGGAAGCTGACATTGCTAATGCTCCTTAATGGAATCTGTATTTCCCAGGTTCATCGCCTCCAACTCCTCCTGGCAAAGTCTGAGACTATGAGGAAAAAGTATGTTTAATTCTTTTGAGGCAAATATTTGCATATATGTGTTTGATATATCACTCATGTACTACTGTAGCTGATGGAAAACTACTACAGGGGAACAGTTTGTCATTTAGATTGCTGGATTTGCTTTTTGGTACTAATTTGGTTGGCTTCACAGCCTTGGCATATGTCTCAGTCACTTTTTTTTCTTGTAGATAAATCATTTTGTGGATGTGGAAAAATACTAGAGCTATTTTAGAAGTACATGAAAGCTCTGAGAATTTATTTCTTAAATAAAATTCGTCTTCCCCCATAATCACATGTATTCTGGCATCACTGGTGATTGAAAAAAAACTCACTAGGTGTTTGGCATTTTACTCTTGAGTCAGTTCTGCATCTTGCTCTAAGGATGTGTGCTGCAAAGAAAGGGTTTTTGGAGTAAACATTATTTTTCTTTAGTACAGACAGACTGGTAAGTCCCTGTGAGAGAAACTTGTGCTTGTCACTGGTGTGTGGGTGTGTCAGTGGTGGTGAGGGTGAGCAGTCTATAGAAGCAATAAAAATCAAAGCACAAAGGCAGAAGACAAAGCCCCAGTAAGAGACAAATTAAAAGCATCAATGCAAGTGCATGTTGTCCAAACTCAGAAGAGGGTAAGAGTGTCTGGTGGGATAGGAAAATTTGTTACCCCACCACTTCAAAATATGCTTGACCTCCTCATGTTAACTACAGGCAACCATCTTAATGTTGGGTGTAATTATGTAGATTGATAGAAACATATGAGAACTCTTTAGAGTCATTATTTATACTGCCTGTGTTTCCCTAATTCACTGTTACTTGTGGCTTGAAAACTGCAATTTGTTCTGTCACCGTTTTTAAAAAAATAATTCTCTCTTTTGGCTCAGGCATGCAGTGACCAGCCTCTTGAGGCTGTAAACCATCACACCTAATTTATTTACAGGTGAAAATGAGTCATCAGGTCTCTTCCTTGTCCTCATTTATTCATAGCTTCAAAAAGCAGTGGTCAGGGCAGTCTCCCTCCATTAGGTGACTGTCAGTCTCCACTTGAGAGGCCGAGCACTGAAATAATAAATGATGTTGAAGGTCAGGGCTCTGGCACATAGAAGGTATTGTAGGAGAGTGTTTCTTTCATGATGCTTGTCTACATTATTTCTGGCTGAAGTGAATGGCATTTGGCTCCTGTTTTCAGTGTAAATGCTAAAGTGTGATTATTTATATGTGAAGTTGTAGAATTCAATTGTAGCTGGAAACTAGGCAGCCTTTCAAGTCCTCAGAATGGTCTGCAATTCTTTAATTTAGGTTTTGATGAGCCTAAAATGGTGTCACTCAGTGGTATGGTTATGATTTCTATCGTTTCAGTCCCTGCCTGGTTTTGGTGGTGTGTTGTGTTTTGGTTTTCACTCTTTATTTCCTCCTGCCTGGGACAGCTGTATGAACAGTCATCCATGACATCTGGACAGCCTTGTTTTTTTATGTCTTCATTTCCTTTTAATTTCTGAAAAGGAGATCAAATTCAGCTTCTCACTCTGATAGGCCAACTGTAGGCTGTCTCTTGCTTTACCTTGTAATTATTCCTGTGGGTGGGATGTAAGATTCCTTCACAAACTGTTCTGTGTTTGTCACTGGTAGTGGCATTTGTCCAAAACTAGATCCATCAGTTATTTCAGACCTTTATTTCTAGAAGTAATTTTTTTAAGATTTTTCTCATTAGCAATGAAGAACAAATATTTCATATTTAAAGTAGTTATAACACATAGCAGGCTTTCCTTTTTCTCTTTTCTTTTTTCATTTTCCCTTTTCTGATGTCTTTTACTCCCATGTTAGCTGAATTCTTCAAATCTGTTTCAAATCTCTGATTGATTGAAACATACCTTACATGAAGAAATTTCTCTGGGGTTTATAGACGCAAGGATAGTTTTTCTTACATTAGAGCAGCATTCCCAGCTGTCTGAAAACACACTTGTGTGTTGGATTTGTTAGAGAGTTGTTCTGTGTGTGTACAGCCCTCTCTCTCTCCCAGTCTCAGGTTGTTTGTTAGGTGAACAACAGCAGTTTAGAGCACGCAGGTCTCTGTGCTGAACAGTTTTTTGGAGGAGTCTCACAGTTGGCTGAAGATAAGTGTTTTTTAAATCAGATTCAGGGTGCTGGTAAAGCTTTAGAAAGTTGGTTAACAAAACAAGCAGAAAGCAAAATAAGCAACACTCATACAAGCACCCTTGTTGATGTGTTAATGAAACAGAGTGGGGGAGGAAGTGAAAGTAATAAATGAATTTTCAAAGTTTTAAAGTATCTTCTTCCTTTGACGCAAATTAAAACAATTATCAAAGTGTTGAGCAAGATGGTCTTTGCATGGGTTTTTCTGCTAAAAGAATAGATAACTTCCCAAGTAAAGGATGTTGAGAAATGCTACTGGGGGGAGCTGAGACAATTAACTTAGCCAGCTGACTCGAATAGTGAGGCTGCTCCACTCTTTTTAATGCTGGTTCTTTGTCCTGTCCTTTAAAGTTAACTCTCTGGTTTTGGCCCCTTTTCCAAGTACAGAGGGCAGAGATACCCAGAAGCGACTGAAGGCACTGAATGCTGCTGTCCTGAGATTGTCCAGGAACATCAAGGAGTTGCAGACTGAGAATCGGAGGCTGAAGGAAGATCTGGATCATGTACTGAGCAGTTCTCCTCCTCCCAGTAAAACAAAAAGTATGTGCTGAAAAGTTGATGAATGTGGGACAAGGGATTTAGGTAACAGCTGAAAGTTTGGGAGCAGGACCCTGCAGTGGTAGAAATAAGGGAGTTATTACAAAGGTGAAGATTTGGGAGTGGCAAAGGTTGGAATGAGAACTTCCTCACAGGAGTCACTCTGACTTCTGAATGTGCTGCTCCAGTCAGACCTGCATTTCCTCTATTATTATGCCTGAGAATTCTGAACTGGAATCACTAGAGGATTTAGCATTGCACTGAAAAACTGTTTTTCAGTTGTTGAAAGCTGATGAATGTGAATGGTTTATATTGATTTCTGAGCTAATTGGTTTAGAAGTCGCATATTTTAAGCCCATTCTCCTTTTTCCATTGGTATATATTTAAAGTTGGCATTCAAAGGTCTTCAGATGGTCTTTCTGTATGGACAGAAGTTTCAAAAAGCAAGAACAATGTTGACCCACTGATGTAGTTATGTGTTTAAAGCTTTGTTATTGTGTTTAGATTATAGTGAGTGGAGCAGACAGAGGCTGGTGAGGCGGATTTCGGAACTGGAAAAAGTAAGTGGTTGTGTGGCCTTACCTGTCTTGGAGCAGAAAATGTAGAACCACTGGCTTGTTCCCTTGGCACATCACCCTTCAGTGTATCAGCTGTGTGTGTTCTGCCTCACATGTAAACTGATGTCTGTAGCATGTGCCCTTCCTCCCTGTTTTCTTTGCTCATATTTGTCACATATAGATGCACGTTTTAGAATTAACTTTCATTTGATCTTTTCTCATGGACTAACTAAAATTTTTTTACAGTAAATTTGAATTCCTCCCCCCCCCCTTTTTTTTCTCTTTTGTGTTTTCCATGTAAATTTATCCTGCTTAGAAAGTATGTGCCATGGAGAGCACCAGGGTGTCACCAGCAGACAGTGATTCATCACAGTTGCCTGCTGTGGCATCTTCACCTTCTGTAGACCTGGATCATCCAGCCCCCCAATATATAGACCATGTTGAGGAATGCCATCGTCTCCAAAGGGAAGTGAAGAAACTGAAGAGTGACAGGAAGGCACTTCAAAATCTCCTACTCAGTAAAGAGTAAGTGTGACTCTTGTCTGGGATGTTGTTCTTTTGTAGGTGTGAATTATTATTTCTGATCACATTATGAAATAATGTAAAAAGTACTTCACATTTTTCAGCAAGAAAATTAATTTTGAGGGTCCCTTCAGCTTTTATTTCAAATGCTTCTTCTAATCCTACTCTCTTTGTAGGTTGCAGAAAAAAAGGTCAGAGGGTGGAAAATGAGAATTTCTGCTTGTTTCTCACACGTTTTTCAAGGCTTATTTTTCTGCCAACCACGCTGAAAACCCTTTGATGGATTCTGTGTCTCTTTATGCAGCACTTCTTGCAAGTGTATTGTGCTGTAAAAGTTTGTGGGTTTCTTTCAACATGATTTGTCCTGTGTCACTTCTGAATGAAGATGCATAGTGAGAGCATGTGAGGAGGCCTTTTCCTTCTGAACAACGTGTGCTTGTGTTTTGTTTTGTTTAGAAGGAAAAATTGAGCATTTAGTTACTTTACAAATTCGAGAAAAGCCATTTTATTTAGAAGTTTAAACAAAAATAACTACTTTGCGGAAGCATGAATGCCTTAAGTATCACTTAGATTTCCTTATTCCTTCAAAGATCAGATATCAAGCAGTTACTGCAGGCTAAGGCTGAAGTGGAGCTGGAGCTGCAGAAGTGGCAGAGTAAGATGGAAGAAAAGAGTACAGAAGAACAGACTTTAAGGTATCACACCTTGTGTTAGTAGATCCTTTCAGAACCAAAAAACTGTTGAAGTATAATTCTCTTTTGAAGTGGCTCAAAATCCATAGGAGTTCATCTGAACTGCAAGAAGCTGGGAATTCTTTTAAGCAGAACTGTTTTGGAAAGCAGTAAGTTACTGGTGGAAGAATTCTGTTGAGTGATTTTAGAGGAAGTGGAAGACTAGGGAGTAAAAATAAGAATTAAATTATAATAAAAATTAATAAGATAAATGGAAATAGCTACCATGTTGGGCTCAGAGATGTTTTCTCTAAGGAAAAATTGTGGTATCTTTACCTTAACCTGTGCTCCTAGACCATTGCCAATGTGTCATTCCAGTTGCTCCATGTATTCTGTATAACTGTGAGTAATAATCCTGTGTGAGGGTGTCAAAAAAAGGTGACTTCATAATTGTTTTGTAAGAAAGGAGTTTGACTGACAAATATGAAACTGTAGCAGATTTAGATGTGTTATTAATAGTATTAAGAGTACCACTGTAACCTTGGGACTTCTTAATTTTAGAATAAGGCTGTGCTGTCACAACCTGAGAATTGATGTTACATGTCTGTTACTATGAGAATAGATATTGTTATCCTGAGAAGTTTCCAATTTTGGCCTTAAAAAAAAAAAAGCCCAAAGCAACCAAGTGTTATGAAATAAGTTCAGTATTTTCAAAGCAGGAACATCAGAAAACTTCCAGCTATAAATATCTTTACTTTTCCAACCATAGTGAGGAAATCCAGAACCTGACACAGAAAGTAGAGAAACTGGAGTCAAAATTGGAGGAAGAGAAAAGACAAATGGCAGAAGATACAATGGAAAATCTTCATAAGGTACAGACACACAGTGTGTGTGGTTTGGAGGTTTTTTGTGTAGTCATGTTAAGCTCATTTCACTAAATATTACTGGGAAATTATTCCTGGGGATTTTGATTGCACTTAAAAATAAATAGACCCTGAAATACATGTAGTAAAAAATATGAATAAAAATGTCCACTTGCTTAAGAGGGTTCTGGTTTTTGATATACTGTGCAATTCTTTAGAGTCTTTTTTTGTGTTATAGGCTGATGGATGCTAGAGGATGTTTTGAATACCAAATAACTCAAGTCTTTAAAAACAGCCAACAAACAGCTCCTTTTTTCCTCTGCAGACTATATATATTCTTGGCCAGTAACCATCCATTTATTGAAATGTTCCCATTATTTGTAATTATCACTAAGTTCCTACCAATTTCTCATTTTAATGGTAGGTTGTCATTTTTAATATGACATGATCCATTTGCTAAACTTAAGCCTGTAACTCGGCATTTTTAGGTTATAAATAAATCCTTTTCATGAAATCAAGAGGTTTTTTTAGAGTCTATAAAATCTCTTGTTCCTCTATTTAAAATTTTACACCAATAAATTAAATTAGTCTTTTAAACTTGCAGCTAACTTTTGTTTGGCAAGTGAGGTGTGACAATTAGTGTGGGATAATTAGGGATCAAAAGGATCAAATGGTGAGAGGTGGAATATGCAGCCACACCTCAGAAGAAATAACTGGAACAAAATCTTGTTTTGTTCTTGGTTTCTTTCTTTGTCCTCCAATTAATTTCTTCAAGATAGAAGAGTAGAGTTATGCCAACTTACACAAAACCCTCTGTTTGCTCAGTGTCAGACAAGGCCAACTAATCAGTAAGTTTAAGCAGATAATTATGGGGCTACAGTTGCCAGGATGAGACATTAGAGAATTCCCTAGTTAATTAATACTTGTCTTTCCTGGAGAACTGCAAAATTAGGTAACCTGACATTTCTTCTCAGTCTGTTCATAACATACAAACCATTTCTGATCAACAAAGCAGTGAGTTAGCTGTGCCTTAGCAAAGCATAGAAAAATAGGAGTATGTGGAGATGAGAACTTTTCCATTCCCATGCTCTGCTAAGGGCTAAAAAGGGGGCAGGGCTGTGTTTCACTGTAACACTCATCTGGATGATGGGTTTGAACATGAGCAGGGTTCAGAACTAAGAGTTTCCTCTTGAACTTCCTCCTGCCCTGCAGGCAGGATGAACTCTGGTGCTGATTTTCCTGAGTCATTAGTAACCTGTCTCCCTCACAGCTTTGTGTCTTGACTGTACTAACTTAAAGATTCTCCTTTGCAGTCTTCACCAGTCTGCACAGTTAAAGGCAAAGAAGATCACAGGGAAGAACAAGCAGCCAAAATCATCCAGAGACACTGGAAGATGTACAAAACCAAGGTGAGATTGTCCTAACAGGGAACAGCGAGGACATGCCCCTCTGAATTTTACTCTTTACCATCTGTCCACATATCTTAAAAGATGAAAAGGTTTTTTTTCCTTAGGTTTGTTGTTTGAGGTTTTTTTTGGGGTTGGAACAAGTATTTTCTGTGTGTTTTAATTGTTGGGGAATATTTGGAATGTCTTTATTAGATAAAGCTCATATATACTTGTGGCATTAACGTGAGCATCTTTCATTTCAGAAAGAAGAAATTGCTCTGGATGAGGTGAGTCTGTTTACACCCAACAAAACAGTACAACAGATTTAATTTGTATCAAAGAGCAAACAAATAACTTCAAAGATGTTTTACCACAGTGATGTTTGTTCTTCAGGCTGGCTTATAATCTTCCTTCTGACATCCTGGTTGTGTTTCATATATCTTGTCAGTGATTCTCTTTTGGTCTCAGATTTTCCTTACTTAGTACCTTCTGCAAGATGAATGTACTTCTGAAAATTTTGATACCGACAGACAGGAACTTCTTTCTAAACTAGATAATTCTAATAATGCTTTAATTTTTACTGTGATGAGTCTTCAGAAAGATTTGAAGTAGGATTTCAAGTTTTAGCTAAGGAGAAATGTCTCGGAGTATTCTGAAGAAATTGGCAAGTTTGTCAAACAAAGTCACTTCTTCATAAATGTTTTGCAGAAAGGTTTTGATTAAACTGTTTTTTCCAATAGCCCAGTGTGGCATCTTGTGTTTGTTTCTTCTAGAACATTAAAAATCCCACTTTCAGAAATTAGTCTTTACATCTAAATGCTTCTTGTAGACAACAACCCAGTAAACTCTCTGAGTGGAGGGGAAAGACTTACATTCAGTGTTATCACCACAATGGTCTACCAGGCTTGGCTTGGTTTTTTGATTGTGCCAGAGCATCTCAGAGCCCACTGGGTAGCCAGAGTCTAATATGGAAATGGGAGCATGTTGCTGTATTGGTTGGTGCTGGCACTTGGAACTTACCTGCATTTGATAGGATCAATCATGAGCACCTCCCAGATGGAATTTAAACCCTGGAGGTGACCCCAAAGCTGTATGTCTGTGGGTTATCTTTCCAAGGAGCTAATATCTTCTTCCTTCTCTCCCTGCTAGGCAGTTGTGGTGCTGCAGGCAGCTCTCAGAGGACATTTAACTCGACAGAAACTGTTACTGAATAATGGGATCCATGAAGCAAAATCTCTCAACAAGGTAATTGTGGGGCAAATGGGTATCCCAACATCCCATTATGTTTAGTTTGCAGTGTAAAGGACTGCACTTCCAGGCTTGATTCTCTGAATCACCTGGTGATGTTGTTTTAATGTGGTGGTTGGCAACTCCACTGTAATTCTAGGAAGATACTGAGCTCGTTCCCTGGGCTCCCTTTTCCACCTTCTGTAGTTCTCACTTTTTCTCAGAAGTAAAGCTATAAATTCTCAGTGTTGGGTCTCTTTTATTCTGGTTCTCCCATCAACTAATAATGCATTCCTTAATTCAGAGTGCTATTGAAAACTTCACCTGCTCTCAAGTGTTCACTACTGGATCATTGTAGTAACAGATAAACTTTTGTCACTGAGGTTCAGAAATAAGAATCTGGAAAGCATCTTTGATTAGATTGAAAAATAAAGCAGTCTTGATGTGCCATGCTCAACCAAAGACTTAGTGTCATCTGTCATGTTCAGCTTGCTTCAGATTATTTAGTTCTGCATATGAAAAATTTTCCTTACCAATTAAACATTCAGTTTCTGTAAATGATTTGCCAATTTATATAAACATCCTTTGGACCTTTATCAGGCCAAAGTTAATTTGTAATTCTCCATCCAGGTTGTCCACCTGGTTGCACTTTACTTTTATTTTGGCAAACTGGCCCCATGTAGTAGGACTGAATACTTTGCTTGATAGCACAGAAGATAGATCCATTATGAAGGTTGCTTTACCTCCTTCATCTTCAAAAGATTTCCTTCCTGGAAAATAAATGAACTTTCCTTGCAGGTGTCTGCTCTTTCATTAATTGAATGCTGGTTCTTCAAAGCTTGCATGATGATCAGGTTTGCATTTCCTGCTGATTTAGTCCTACAGAACCTTAAAGACTGCAGACCAAAAGATGGGAATATTTGTTCCGCTGCCACTTTCACAATCAGGAGTAAGATTGTGAAAGGTTCTGTCAAGCTTCTGTGCAATCTGTAAAAGGTCAGTTTTCTTTAATCTGATTGCTTTGCAGAACTCCTGCGTGTCTTCCATGTCAGACTCCTTGAGCTCGTCCTCTGATTGCGAGGAGAGAGATGAGATTGTGACGTTCATTCAGTCCATTTTCAGGGCTCACTCAGCACGTACAGTTCTGCTTGAGGAGAGGTAAGTGAGGGGCAGATATTTCTGCAACATGCAGTAGCAAAATTGGTTTTATTAGAAGAGAGGAATATTTGTTTAACAGAAGTTTAGTGTGGGTTCCTTGGCAGAGAAAAAGAACAAGGCCATTGTTACAACAAAGACATGGGAGAGCTTGCTCCTGAGAAAAGTCAAAGGGCATGCAACTAAAAGGAATTTTGTAGCAACAGGAGCCTTTCCATATCCTGCTGCATTTTCTCTTCCATAGCAATGAGTAGAAGTAAAGTAAAATAATTACTCTTTGGAAAAAACCAGGTTGCTGTTGCTATCAAACAGATTGCTAGTACACTTGCTTAATATATGAATCTGAAGCCCTGACATGTACAAGTTAAGGGTTATGTGGAGGAAAAACAGGGGAAAACTAGAATACCATCAAATGACTTAGCTCAGGCAGAGTGCAGTGGTTTGCTTACTAGAGTGTGTCTCTTTGCAGGTCTTCTGTGTCCAGTGCACCAAGTGAGAAAGCAGATTCTGCACTTTACAGTACAGAGAAGAAACTGGTCTCAGCAGCACTCCAGAGACCTCCTTCAGTCCTCCTGTCGCCTCTTCCTGGTAATCTCATTTCCCTGTGTTCAAAAGTGTGTGTGTTGTGTGTGTGTTTTGAGTGGGTGCACACACAGTTTTATGGAGAACATCTGCACGTGCACACACATGTGCAAGTGCACAGTTGTACTCTGTGTGTGGGGCTTAATTTAATGACATGTTGCTTATCCTGGCACGTGCAGTTCCTTACATAAAAAATAAAAGATCTGAGAGTACCACTACCAGCTTCCTCACAGTGCTTTGTGTTTTTGTCACAACTGTGGTTTGGAAAGTCTCTCTGGTGCAAGTGGTAATTATTTGAGGAACATGGTGTTCCCCTGTATTGCCTCTCTAGTTCCTTTTCAGCCCTCCCATCCCTGTAGCTGTAGGATGGTACTTTCCACTACATTTTTGGGCCCTTAGCCATAGACAAGCTGAGAATGTTTTCACCACCCTGACTTTAGTTTCTGCAGAAGACAGACAGACAACTGGTAAAAAGAACCATCCTAGGCAGCCATGTGTGTTCAGTCACGTTTTTTTTCAGCAGTCTTCAGTTGCTGCAGCGAGGGGGAAAAATGAAGTCCTGGATAACCTTGCCAACTAGTACTACTGTAATACAAACTGAGAAAAATCTGTCTTTTTTATGGCTCTTATGCCATTTGGTTTTCTTCTTGAATTCTTTATAGCTGTTTGTGAGAAGATGGAGTTAAAGCCAAAGAGGCTTTTAGGAGGATGTTAGAAGTCCTGAGTGGGAAAGGCAAAACAATGCTGCAGATAAGGCAGCTTCAGACATGCAGCTTCAAAGGAGTTAAAAACAAATTGAAAAAGGTTGGTTCTGTCCAGAGTGGGATATTTTAGGCTTTAATGGACCAGTTGGGGGGAAAAAAAGAGCAACTTTGAGTGTGACCCGAGAAACATTGACTTGTTTTTTGTCGATGAAAAGCTGACAGTCCCTGCAGACTTGCTCAGAAACAGAGAATGCTTTAAGCAGCTGAGGCTGTTTCTCTAAGATAGGAGACAGAGAATAAGCCAGATTTGCAGGGGTTGTGAAAACAGAGGTCACACTTCAGCGAAAGAAAATGTGTTTAAGAAACTTTACTATGTTCTATTTTCAGAGGCACATTCCACTTTGTGAAGGAGTAGGTAGTGCTTGCTTCTGAAGATGTTTGAGTTTTGAGTGATCTTAATTATGTCTAGTGACAGTATCCAGGAAAAAAAAAATGCTGCAGCACCCTGTTTTGCCTGAACTCTACTGCAGTAGTCATTATTGGCATGCTCTGTGTAAACCTAGAGTAAATCAGTTGTGAAATTCTACCCAAAGAGGAAGAATCACTTAATTATGCTTAATGCTTCTAAGACCCAAAGAAGGGTGTAAGATGAAGCTTGTCTGGGAAACGTGGTCATGTGAATCCCAACAGAGCACAGTCACTGTCTGGCTATGAAGTCTCCAAAGCTAAGTTTTATTGCAGATTATGATGACAAATTGATGAGTGAAGAAGTTTTGGAATTGTTTATACTAAAAGAGATAGAGAGGAAATCATGAACTTTCAGACTTGCAGTCCTTTACTGGTGAATATCAAAAAGGAGAGATTGGGAGCAAAGCAGGGTAAATTTGCTGCTGGTTTTAGGAATATGGGAGACCTTTTCAAAGTGTCTGGGATGAGGATGGAATGTATCCAAGTGGCTTATGGAGAGGCATACTGGGTATGTGCTTCTGTAGCTGCACAAGTGCCCAAAGACTGCCTGGCACTAAGCTCTCTGAATTATTAGGTCCATAATATATGGTGTATTGGAGTGTTTAACCAAACTGTCCCAAATGAGAAATTAGGAAGGAGAGCATTCTGATGTAAATGCCACCTTTCTGAAGAAATGTGACCCCTTGGTGATCTGTTTGGTTGTTTGCCATGTCAATTCATGTAGCTTAAACTAAAGTTAAAGTTAACCAAAAGTCCACCTCTACCACTCTGAGCTCATGACTGGGTTTTGATGGTAAATTGGGATTTCCATGGTCATCCTGCAGCTTGGAAACTACTTGAGACAAGGAGCTTGTTGAGCAGCTGAGTGATTTAAAGCAATCAGATTCTTTTAGCTTTTAATCATGCAGCTGGACAGGCTCTTACTTCATTTGTCCCAAGTCCAAACTTTCATTTTGTGACCTCTAGGTCTTAAAATGATCTTAAGCTTCCAGTCAGTGTATATATTGCAATAAGTCATTTCACTTCACTACCCTTCCAGCACTATTTTGAGAGGAATGGGGAAGATAAAAATGTGTTTTAAAAAACCTTTTGTATCTGCTAGAATGAATGTATATAATCCTTGTCTAGCATTGCAGACTTTGGATTCATTGTTTGCATCAGGTTAGATGTCTCTGTATTTTCTAAAAAAAAAATTAATTAAAAAAATCTGGTGTAGCATTCAGTGCTGCTTTGCTTGTCTTCAGATTGTGAACAGTACTTGGAGATTTTATAAAGCCATGTCTGCTGTTTCCCATGAAATGGAACAGATATTAACTATTCAGTCTGCAAAATGTGGTGTTTTGTTTCATTCTGTCAGGGGAGTGTCAGGAAGGAAGAATATGTTCTGTACATGCACAGCAATCTCGATTAAGGGCAGAATTTCTCTCTGCTTATTACTGGCCACTCTGGCTACGACTGTTAACTTCATTTGAGGCTTTCTTGAAATCATAATGAATTTACATACAACCCTTAACTCTTTTTAGTGCTTAACCTTCACAAGCACAAAGATAAAGTTGTCCCTGAAGTGTATTAAATTGAAGATGAGGACAAGAATCTCAGACATCAAGAGCAGGATATAATCAAGAATGGTTTGGATAATATTAAGCTATTTCATGTATAAGATGTTTATTGTTGGAGTTGCTGCTTCTAGTTACCATGCCTGCTTCTGGAAGTTCCCTTTGTTCCTCTGCATCACCAGAGCTACTGTCTCATAAACCTTCCTGAAAAATTCTGACATTTGTTGACTGATGCAAAGAAGAATTTCACTTAACTAGAAAGTCATGTGTTTCTTTGCTTCTGTAGGCTGAGGTCAATGTAATGGCCTGCCTTCATTCCTCCTTGCCATTCACAGGCTCTCTGTCACTCTTTTTCTATTTCTGGGCCAGTTGTGGTCCCCTTTATTTCATATTCCAGTTTTTATGCTTGTTCTTCCATACCAGGAGATTTTTTTCCGGTGTCAGGAACCTCTTATTTCACTACAAGACCTGTGGCTTGTCTGTTCTCCTCAGGTAATATTCTCTGTGTGCCCTCCATTTCAGGTCAGAATCTCAGTGTATGGCCTCTTGCCTGCTTCCCCTTCTACCACAGGTTGTCTTGATTAGTTTTCTTCTCTGGGAGAGTCTATTCAGATAATTTATATTTGAAACTGAAAAGTAAGTGGAGCTGAGGGGAGAATATTGTGCTAGGAGGTATTAATAGCTGAGGGGAGGATATTGTGCTGGAAGGTATTAATAGCAGTCATCATTTAGTTCATAGATCTCTTGTAGAGGGCATGCTGCTGCTTCTGTTCTTCAGGTGTTAGGGACTTTGTATGGGTTCATTTTATCCCTCTGGTTTTCCAGTGTTTACTGGAATCATTAGGGATCTATCTGTTCATACCCTGAATATTTTTTCACATGTTGGAATGAATGAGACACATAGAAACACACATCCAGAAAAATGGCAAAGAAGGAAAATTAAAAAAAAATAAAACAAACCCCACGATGTGGCCACTGTTTCATTGTCATTACAGTAGTGCAGCTGGTGAATGATATTTTTGGTATTTTACAGGTATAAGGATGAAAGACAGTGGCTGAGAGCTTCTGTCTCTCTTTGTATCCATTTCCCTTTGCTCCATCTGTATTCTCATTGTTACCTTTCTGCATAGTTTAAGCTTGGGTCAGTTTTTCCTTTTCTGGGCGTGTAATAAATATTTGGTTTTATGACCTGCGATGGCTTCAGTATCAAATTGCTTTACTCGGTGGTGTGTAACCACCTGCAGAGATTTAAAGGCAGTAAGACAAATGAGGTGTGGTCAGTCTGTCAGCTCAACACTCTCCATGCATGGCTGGTTCACTAAGGAGAGCAGGAGCAGCTCTGCACAAACAGATAGATCAGGCTTATCCATACCTGTGGGTGGGTCTGGAAACTCAGTGACTCGGAGAATATCACACTTCTCACAAGGGCTTGTTTTTGTCAATGTTGTTTATTGATGACCTTGTTTCCTCTGGGATCATTTCAGCCAGGTCCTCTGAGGGTCTGTCCCATCCTGCTCCCGCCCTGCCCGGGGATGAAGCTCACTCAGACGACTCGGATGATGTTGTTATTGTGTCTCCTTTGTTGCAGATGAAGAAAAGCTACAGCCACTTTTAAGTTTTGGTGACAGGCTCTGGTGATCTTGAATTATTGAATTCACGAACAAAACTATTTGTACCAAGATCAGGCATGTCAAAGATGAAGAGAGGAGGAATAGCAGCCCCTTTTTAATGGCAGTTGACATTATTTCAACCATTCTTTCATATGTCATCTCTGCAGACTTTATGGCTAAAAGCCACTGACTGACTGTTAACCTTACCCTGGTGCACAGAGAGTTTGGATTTAAAAACTTAACCAAAACACTTTAATGTTTTGTTTCACAATGAGGATTGTAAATTCAGTTGACAAATTCAAGTGAAAGCAATAAAGCCTTAAGCTATTTCATGTCAAACAAAGTTTTGTTTCAGATCAACTAAAAATATAATTTGTGTAATCAGAAAGTGGTTAATGACGTGACTCCAATTTTCAGCCTGTGTATGTTCAAGGGTACAGCTGGTATTTGTTACCTGGGCCTCCCTATTTAAAAATTTTACTTGTCATATTTTGTATCTTTTTTTGTTTATTTTTATACTGAACATTTACAGACCTTGTAAGCCATTCCTCTGTCATAGGCCATTCTAGACCTACTGTATCAGCTGGCTTTCCTTATTTATTGCTTTTTCCACGTGTGCTTGTGATGATGTGTATAGAATGTTTTGTATTTGAAATGTCTGATCACATAATCAGATTTTTGGATTTGTCAGGGCAGGTGTGTAGTGGCAGGAGTGTTCTGTGAAGGATACCCTTGTGACTGCTTTCTGCTTACAGATCACAAATTTGAGTTCATTATACAGACTCATCTCTGAGATGTGAAAACATCTGACATAGGAGGTAGGACTGTCTGAAATGTTCACCTGACTGCAGTGCTCATGCACTGAGGGGAGGAGCACTGAGGTTTTAAGTCTGATGTTGCTTTGCTGTGGTTGATACCTCTTCCCAGTACTACCTTTGCCTGTGCACACCTGCACAGTGGGTCCAGTCAGAATCTGGGAGAGGGATCCCATATCCACCCCTATCTGCCTCTGCCAGGCTGGTGCTGGAGAACATGGGCACTGCCTACTTAATTCTGTGCATTGTGGATTAGGATGAGTACAATAAACAAAGCCTAATCCATGCAGTTTGGTTTGGGAACAGAAGTGGTAGGTTGGATTAAGAAATTAAGGCTGCATCCAGAAACAGCACTGACAATAACATTGTCCATGGAAAGACCAAAGACCTGGCTGTGGAGAATATAATCAGAGGGGTCTTTCCAGATCTTCTGTGCAGACTGTACTTTTTGACTGGAGAATTCCAACTGTCACACCAACACCCTTCAAAAGCATTAAAATGCTTGTGTGGGTTTTTTTAATCGTGATATTTATTGAAAGGAGAATTTAATTTTACATGCACACAGTGAAGGTTTGCTGGAAACCCTAATGGTTTCTTTGTCACCAAAGAGTAATAAAGTCTCCTGTAAACAGAAAGCACACTCTTAAATATAAGATTTTTATCACCTTCTCTTTTTTAAATTAAAAATCAGTCACCACTGTTTTGCAGAATACCAATAAGTCAGGGCTGTCTCAGTTCTGTGATTTCAGTGAAGCACTATCTGAGGCTTATCAGAGTTTGTGCCAGTACTTGCAGCCAAAGAGGAAACTGGATGGCTGCAGCACAATGCAGCTGATTTCATTTAATCCCATCGGTGGAAATGCTGCCTGTACTATTTCCAAAGGCAGTTCTGGGAGCTCTCCATACCCAGAGCAGCCTGAAGAATGTCATTTGCACTCCCAATGGGTAAATTTTTCCTGGCTGTACTTTGGTCACATGACTGTCATCTGCAGAAAGGATAAAAAAATATATATAAAATAAAAAAAGGGATAGAATCCTCTTGGTAGAAGCTGAGACCTGCTTCCCTCTGTTTCTGGAAGTCATGTTAAGAAGAAGGGTCATTTTGCTAAATGGAAGCAGAGCTGTACTGAGTTGCCTGTGTATAATATTTCAAGTCTGTAACTGGGGCTCTGTCATGGATCTCTCCAGAGAGAGTAACTAGAGCTGAGGACTGACACATTAAGGGAAGGGTATGTAGTGTGTCAGGACCCAGACTGATATCAAATAACTACCTAGCTGTTATCCTATAAGGAAATACTGAGACAGCAAATAAAATAAAGATGGCATTCTTTTACTTTACTGTGCTGTAATGACCAATATGAAAGCATTAGGAAGTTGATACAGAGCAGGAAGATTTGTTTTACCTGAGCCTGTGACCAGCAGTAGAGCTGTCAACAGACAACTTCTGGCATAAAGGGGAGCTGGTATCTTGGGATGACCCAAAGGCACAGAATCAGGGTGAAAAGGATGAAACATTTTCTGGAAGGAGTGAAAATATGTCTAGAGCTTTCTAAATTTGAGACTGCTATTTCCTAGGTATCAAAAATCTGATACTTTACTTGAGATGGGTTTCAGACTAATATTTTGGTTTGGAGGAGAACTTGCTCACTGCACAATGAGTTTGGTGTGGAACAGTAGGAAGAGAAACCTCCACAGTATCAGTAGCCTTTAACATGGTTGTGTTGTACACTGGAATGGAGTGTGTTGAAGGGAACAGTGGTGGACACAAGGTTTTGTTCTGTGGTTATCTGAATGCCAGCACCTGTGGGAAGAAGTGTGGAACAACGATGGAAGAAAAAATTATTTGAATAAATGGCATTTTTCCTCAACAGGGAGCTGAGGACAGTGAAAATCAGTGTGGCTCAAACCTGTCAAAATAAACCCAACACAAACATGCTGTTTCTGTAGAAAGCCCTGGAAACCTTGTGGGGACGTCAAGGTCTTGAATTAAAATTAAATTCCACTGTAACCTATGTAATCTAAAAGCACACTTTCCATTCTGTTGATATGGAATAATGTTTCCAACTTAAAACCTTTTGCAGTGTTTAGTTAGAGATTGTGTGTGAGTACAGAGTTTGGACTTTAATGGGACATTATCTCTCTTGATCTCTTTTTGCCCTTAAGTGCCTTTTCCTGTAAATCTTTACTGAGGCATCAAGACATGAAAACTATGGTTTTTTGCATAGCTATAAAAATAATCCCTGCACAGGCAACTTTTAATGTAGTCAAAATGGAAAAGGAGTGATCTTGGCATACGAGAGCACCATTAATTTTTATGATCTTTTTAATATTCAGAACTGTGCAAGTATTTTATGTAACTTATTTTGGGATCCTTGAAAAGCTAACACAATTGCAATGTGTTTACTCCTGATTGTTGAATTTTGAAATAAAGTTTGTGTATGAACAGGTGATGTGTTTGTGCTGCCGTTGCTGTGTTTGCATTGCCCCTCTGGCCTCTGCCCGGTTTCCTGCTTTCACTTTGCACCTGGGTTGACCTTTTATCCCTGGCTGTTTTCCTGAGCTTATAGTAACAAGCTAACTCAGACACATGCAGGGTGTGGAATTTCTGCTTTAGTACAGGTTTAAGGTTGTCCCATCAGGAGTGAACGGGGTTCCTGCCCAAAGCCTGGTGGAACTGAAAGAGCTGATGGACTTTTGCTTTCAGTCTTGCCATCTGGTGTATCATAGGGATAATCAGTGTTGGAACTCACCAGGGGCACAGAGGTTCAGTTGTGCTGTAGAGAGGCACAGGACTGGGACAAACTGGTCTGCCAGCTGCTGTGGGAGAGCAGGAGTCTACAGGTTTCAACTCTCCAGTTTGCTCACAGTGTATCCCCTCACCTCAGTTACTGTTGCTGTTTATGAAGCTCTGGAAGGAACTAGGACACATGCATTCCTTCCCAGGTCCACTGAGAAAGCCTTTAGGGACTCCCAGGAAAAACAAGCCTTATGCTGCTCTGTGGACATAGAAGATCCCTTTAACTGCTGCCAAGACATGGGAATCCTGCAGTCACCTTCCTGTCAAGCAGAGTCCTTGTTGCAGGACTAAAACAGCTATAAGAGTACAAGATGAAATAGTCTGTGTTTGATGAATATGTTAACTAATTTCACTTTTTTATTCTTCCTTCTCTGCTCTACTGACATATTCTCTGGATTTCTTAGGACCAGTTTTGGTTTTAAATCCTAAACACTGGAGGTAATCCATGAGGCATGAATGGAAAAGTTTTGATACTGTTTCCTGGAGCAGACTAGCCTTGAATTCAGTTGAAAGCAATTAAATGTTTGTAGTTGTATTAAATCCTAATTTGTCTTCATCTGAAGTCAGAATGCCCTTGACTCTTGCAAGCTCTGCAGCATCTGTTTATGGAAGGTTTGTCAGCTGATGAATTGCTTTCCCATATGAACTTTTAAAGAGGGGGAAAAAGGTTTCATTTGATGGGCATCATTGAGACCTGCAAAGAGCAACATTTCCATGTTAAACTCCGGGTTATTGCTGGGAGGGTTTTCAGGTGTGGTTGGTGGTCAGGTGCTGCATCAGTTCCTCTGATGTTTCCTTCTAATGTTTGCTGAAGTGTTTCTCTGCCGGTAGAGACAGCACTGACATCACCTTCCAGATGTTTGCCCTGTTTACAGGTGTGTGTAAGGCACGTGGCTCTTGGTTATATATGGCTTTTAGCACTTGTTCTGTCCTTGCTGTGCACAAAGGAATAGCCTGGAATGGTGAGTGTTGCTATGTTCTTACTAATTACACTCTGTTGTAGTCCACTGGTTAAGTTGCTCCCCTTGCCCCTCTCACAGCCTGTCTTTCCCAATTTCCCAATCACCTTTTTCAAATCAAAGTGTGTGGATTCCCCCTGGTCTCCAGGACAGCGTTTGTGTTGTTCCCCTCACTAGGGCTGTGTATAAACAACCTTCCTCTGCCAAGGTGTTGCTCAGACTGTAACAGCTCCCCTTCTATTTGGGAGGATTTTGCCAACACGCCTCACAGACACGTTGTGCCAGGTGCCACATAAGCCCCTTTAGGGCTTCTGTTGTTGGTAGTGTGAACAGATGTGTCATAAAATCTTGATGCTCAAAATGGTCTGGGAAGAACCAGGAGGGACATCATGTCCTTTGTCAAGGGCTGTCTTACTGCCCTCTCTATCAGCCAGATAATCCCACACCTGGATCTCACTCCTCTCCCTTCCTCAGCCCGTCATCTCTGCTTCACTAATGTAACAGAGCTTGAAGGTTTTTTCTGCAATATGACTTCAGGGATGAGATACTGTAAAATCTGTCACTTGGTTACAGTGCTGGTTTTAAAAAGGCTGTGTTTGAATGGCCTCTAGGTATATGCGTGGAAAATTAGAATAGCTCCTAATAAATGGGATTGTCCATGAATGCCTGTAGTACAACACTGTGCACAAACATTGCTTAGCATTGCCATTATCTAGCAATAATCCTTATTTGGATCTTACACAAATTGTGGCAGAACCTTGTATTTACCTAACCTGGAAATTTTTCCTGAGCAGGCTCTCTATAATTTACTCACAGAACTGGCAGTTTTCTTCCCTCTCTCGGCAGATATTTAATAGCCACATATTGCATTTCCATGCTAGTAAACCTTCATTATTATACAAAATGTACCAGAATGTTATGAAGAAATACCTTAAATAATTAAACAGAAACTATGAGTGACAAAACAAACCAACAAAGTCGAATTTGAGCTGTATGACTCTTTCCTTTTTGTATTCACTTATTTGCTAATTTGCTGAACTTACTGGACTGCAAATAGGTCTTGCTGTGATTAGAGAGAGTTTGCCAAGTTCCTTTGTAATTGTTTCTTTGCAATTAACTAAATAATAGAATGTTCTGTGTGGCTCTCTGGGGAAAGGAGCGGGCAGGTGCTTTTGCAATAGGATTTCCACATCTTCCACCCATTTCCCTGGAACTCACAGAGTTTAAAAAGACTGGTAGAACATGAGAGAGAGAATATTGCCTCAGGACTGGAAATGAGAGAATTAACCTTTTCTTGTGCCGTTTTTGAGTTTGCTTACAGTGTTTTATGCTGGCCCTGGTAGTGGCTATTCTTTGTGTAAACCTAAAAGTCCCTGGGAGGATGTCAGAGGAAAGTAATGAAGACCCCAATGTTCCTGCCTGCAGATGCCTTCTCTCAGGGGAAATCCTTCAAGCTGGGAGGAGAAGTCAGCTGGGAAGATCCCTGGCAACGTGGCTTTGCTGGGAAGAGGGGAGGCTGGGGGCTGAGCTGCTGTGGAGGGGGCAGCAATAACTGGGGGAGGCTGGAGAGCAGCCCTGGCTTTGTTATTTCCTTTGACTTTGAGCAGAAAATTACAGAGGAAGCCCTGGGAGGAGAGGAAGGGTAATTTTAATGGAGGCACAGTCCAGCTCAGCGGGAAGGAGGCACAGCTTGATGTAAGGGCAGAGTTTGTGGAGTGGCAGAGCCAGAGGTGTTGCCTAACAGTGGCAGCTGAGTGCAGAGACATGATTGTCTCACTGACCTCCCTCTGACTGTCCATAATTTAGTCCCTGTCTCAAGAGGGTAACTTATCCATCTGCTGGGACTCGGAGTTCAAATTTGCCTTTTTGGGTTTTTTTGGATCTGTATTTTGGCTAAAACCTTTTGTAGCACGTATTAGGTCTGACAGTTGGGAGGACTCCTCACTCCACAGTATATTAAAAGCTGAATTATTTAATTTCAGAGTGAATAACAAAAGCTGAGGATATGGGATTGCTGTTTCAAAAAGTGCTCTCATTGCCAGCATCACATCAGCAGTAGGGATGTCTGCAGTAGAAAGAAGCTTGTGAAGAGTGAAAAATGCTACATTTCTAGGAGTGCTTCTGCAGACTGCTTGATGGCCTCACGAGGATGGAGAACAGCACTGGCTGCCTTATTTTGGAGGTTTAAACCAGTCTGGTTTATCTTCGTTTTCTTTAATTTGGAGTGTTTCACGTTTGCCCATTTTGTCCTGTGATTCTTTAGCAAAGCCACTGTCAGAGCAATTTAGTGAATGCTAATACAGCTCTTTGGGTTACTTTTCAGCAGGATTACCAGTGAACAAGCTGACATTTGCAGTCTGCTTTGGTTGACTGTAGAACAGCTTTCCATGCAAGGGTGATTTACTGTTAGATTTTGTCCCTGGGATGTCACAGCAGTGTCATGTTTTGTTCATTTTGCTTTGGCAAAACAGAGTGAACCTATTTGTGTGGGAAGGGAAAAAGGCTGCTATAATCTAAACATGAGAACCCTGATAATTCTCTTGTTGTCATGTAATTAAGAATCACCTGAATTGAATCAAATGTTAGACATCCCAGGATTGCAAACATTGCTTCTGGAGGTGGTACAACAGGCTGAAGTGCCTTGCAGTGGAAAGTATGGTTGGTGCTGGATCTTGTGGTTTGTCTCTCACTCCTATTTTGCTGAATCCATTTTACTCTTCTTTTCCCCATATCATTATAAATAATTGTGGTGGAGAAATGAAAACTGTTGATGCCTCTGTTTCTCTGTAATCCCAAATGCTCATTCTGCTTTAATTTAATCCAGTTGTCTCTGCAGCAAAAGGCCGAGGGAGAGGCATGAACACCAGCACTGCTGAGCTGCTCCCTTTCCCACTTACCCCTGTCCCCATTATGGTGCCTCAAACTGGGGCTGACACGCTGGTGTCACACCCCCATGTAACACCATCCAGCTTTTTCTCTCGTCTGTTCCAAAACATTTCGTTCGGTTTGATTTACATCAACTCCATCGAACAGCATCTCGGTGTGGAGTGTTTGCTGCATCTGCTTCTATTCCATGTCCATCATTTGCTGACGAAGGTACTTGGCCTTGCAGCCCAGTGGGGGTTTTGTGTCATTCCAGAGGCAGCAGTAACATCTGCAGGACAGATCCCAGCCCTGAGCGTTTTAGCGCCAAATTGCATAAACTCTGTGCCATGAGTGGCTTACACAGAGATCTCTCGCCCCAGCGAGGTCTCTACGCTCCTTGTCTTTGGGATTTTAGAACTGGAGATGAAATATGTTGGATCACTGGCCTTTAAAATAATTCCTTCTTCATCCTTGCTGGCGCTGTGAGAAAAAAAAAATGAAAAATAACAGGGAAGAAAACTAAATTAACTGACGTTGAGCTGTCCTCCTGCAGAAAATAAAGCCTTTTCTTGGAGAAAGCTGGAGGGGAGTTGAGGTCTTGTATCTTGTACCCTCGTATATCTTGTACTTGGGCTCACCCTGCGTGGTGTGAACCCTCTGACGTGTGCCTTAATGCTATTTGGGAGTGATAAGATTTCCTTTTAGCTATGCTGATAATACTCATACGAAAATCCCGTCCCAGTCAAAAGCTATTAAAGTTGATGTTATATTTCAGAACATCAGCAGAAATATGTTTATTTGGTCTCCTAAGGTGTTAAATAGCATAT